GAAGTAGGTTTGTCCTACGCAGCGATCATTGGCTACAGGTCAGCATTGTACCCCGCCATAGAAGACGCATTGGGGTCAAGTCTAGCCGATTGTCCTACTATTAGGAGACTGTTTACTGCTTTCCATAATCAGAGGCCGAGGTCCCGTACAAGGGAACCGCCCAATTGGAATCTGTCGGTTGTTTTATCAGCCCTAAGCAGACCACCTTTCGATCCCCTCTTTTCAGTACCACTCAAGTGTTTGACGTGGAAAATGGTCTTCCTACTGGCCCTCGCCTCAGGTAGGTGCCGGTCAGAGCTAGGCGTACTATCCTTCATGGACGGTTGCGTCGCCTTTATGGACAATCAAGTTGTACTAAAGACACAAATCGGATTTCTCGCCAAGAACCAAATCTCTGGACACAATCTGCAACCGATCGTCAAATATTGTCAGTCCGGAGGATCAGGAGGAATAGCTTCTCTGCCCACTTCGAGTGTTGAGTTGCCACGAGAACTGTACAAGGTTTTCGAGAGGGGGAACCAAACACATGTTTTTGTGTTACGGGCCCGGCAAACAGGATAACCCGACCTCCCTGACTTCCATCGCCAGGTGGATTACTGTGACTGTACTGGAGATCTATAATACATTATCCTCCTCAACGCAGTCCTTGCAGAGCCACAAAGTACGAGCACATGAGGTCCGTGTGATTGCTAACTCACTAGCACTAGCGTCAGGTGCCTCCATCGAACACATTCTGAGGGCAGGCTTCTGGAGAACGCACAACGTCTTCATCAACTACTACCTAAGGGACACCCAATCTATTGAGCAGGGTCTCTTCAGGTTAGGCCCCGTCGTAGCGGGTCAGGCTTTGATTTCCGACCCAGCCCGAAGGACCACAGGGGCCCCTGCGCATAGGCGATAAGTCAGTCTCAGCATTCTTGCAGATAGATGTCCTGTACCACTAGCACTTCCTGGAAGCTCCCAGGTTTCGCTTTTTCGACCTACGCCCTCATGCGAACTGTTTCGGTCCTTTTGTCTAGCTTATTACCCTTGAAATCGAGTTGGGGTGTAGCTTATTCGGGCACACCGAACCCTGTCACCGCAGCAGCACTTCGGCTTCTTGCTCCTAGGACAGCACAGGCAAGGTAAGACACCACCCCTTTTGGGGCTTAATTGGGGTGTTGAGTGATTATTGTAGAGTGTTTCATCCCGGACTGGGAAAAGACTTTCATCTTTTTCTGTTTGCTCGGAAAACTCGCCACCTATCGGCGTCTGACTCTGCCTACAGTTCAAAATAGTCATTTTGACTGACCGGAGTCTATGGTGGGTAATTGAACGTAGTGAATTTAGGCAGAGGATTCTCCGAACCCGCCTATTCACATAGTTCATACCCACCATAAACTCCTGGTCCCCCCCAACCACCCCACCCTTTCCTTAGCGTTGGTCTAAGTCCTCTAGGCGGAGAGAAAGGAACCAGAGTAATTGTACAGCCGGTAATGGCGCTGCCATATAGGCTCGATCACGTGGTTTGTGACGTAAGAAAAAGGAATCCTGGGGGTCCTGGGGCTTCCCCTGATCTAGATTCTATTTCTCCATCATTGGCAGAATCGCTGATTAATGCCTACAGTTCAAAATAGTCATTTTGACTGACCGGAGTCTATGGTGGGTATGAACTATGTGAATAGGCGGGTTCGGAGAACCCTCTGCCTAAATTGGTGGCCATTTTTGTGCTAAAAAAAATTATCAAATATCAAGCATTTCTGGGTGGATTTTGTTCAAACTTGTTACATACATTAGACATTACGAGTTCCTGATGCATGTCGTTTTATTTTTCAGATTGGATTCAAAATAGCTCACCGGTGGCCATTATGTTTTAATGAATGGGCTTCTAGAGCCATATCTCTGACATGCTTTGACTGATTATAATCAAATTTTAAATATTCATTATACATCATGTTATGGATATATACATATATTCCAAAATGGCTGATTTTGTTTTAATTAATTCTGTTCCAGAGCAATATCTCCTAATGTGGACAAGTACTTGTTTGACGATCAAATACAATTGTCAATCATTTTAATGTTAAACAATCATCATAATCATATTCCTGACATGGTTATATTCCAGCTATATTACTATAAACAAAACTACATATCTCAAATTTGATAACTAACATGGCATGGCTTGTTTATTTTACTGTGTGGTAATTTTTGGAGTGGGACAAATTTGCAGTATTTTCGGTAACTATGTTTTTACTGATGTAAACCACTGAACATATTGTTGTTTTTGTTCTTCAAAGGCTTGTTTTGTTATATTACTGTCTGGTAAGTTACTAATATGATACCAGTATCATTTTCCTAAATATCTATGAGTAATGGAAATTTACCAAGTTCAGCTCTACATGCTGCATTTGAGTTATTCACACCCGGTATTTTTATGCAGAATTTCAAATGTAACTGTTCAATTGGTGTTTTGTCTCATCTATTGTTGTCTAGTATGTCATGTCCCCAAGTTGTTGATCCATATAACAAAATTGGTTTAATACATATCTGAAAAAGATGCATAAATGTTCTACAGTCAGTCTCTCTTGGCATTGCTTTTAACAGTACATACATTGGTCTAGTAGCTTTGTCTGCTAAACATTGTCTTGTTTCTTGGAACTTTCCATTTGATAAAGTTATACCTAAATAAATATATCAATTGCCACAACTTATATTTTGTTCTTGGAATTGAAATAACGCTCTATTTGTCATTGTTCCTTTTTTTAGCTCTGCTAAAAAGCGGAGCTTATCATATGGTAAACTGTGATATTTCCGACTCTTGTTAAAAACCCAAACTCCAATTGCTTTGATATTACATATACAGGTACATGTGGACTTTCCTCATGTTTGTTCATTTCGTGATGATATCTTTAATTCTCTAATTTTGGTGAATATTTTTGTCATTTTTGGTAAAAAGTGATATTTTCGACTTCTTGTTAAAAAATGCAAGTCTGATTGCTTTGATACCATACATATACTGTAGTTGTCCGAGTATAAACTCTTGCTCAAGTATAAGACTCCCCCCTTCATATTGACAGCATTTATAACAAGTCATTTATCCGATCATAAAACGTACAGACCAATATTCATGTGAAACACAGAGTCAAAAGCTGTTCCACTTAGTAAATGCTCCCAAAAGTGATTAGTTACCCTGGGAAATAACGACCGCTCCTCAAGTTAATTTAAACGATGCTAGTTGATGAAGACACTCTAGTATCGTACACACGATTTGTTCATGAATAAATTAGCATAAATTATCGCTCAGGAGAAGCTTTAACTTTTATTCATTTATAAGCCCACTCTAATTTTCCATCAATTTGTCATTTTCCCGGAGAGGGTTTATACCTGGACAACTATGGTAGATACCTCGGGTAGGCCTCTCGCAGATTTGTTCAATTTACTATGTTCAATTACCCACCACATACTCCAGTCAGTCAAAATGACTATATTGAACTGTAGGCATTAATCAGCGATTCTCCCAATGATTGAGAGATAAAATCTAGGTCACATGAATATTTTCAGGTCTCCCCCGCTGATCAGAGGACATCCTCACAGTCCGTGGTGGTTTACCTGATTTTACCGGCTACAGCGTGACTGGGCCCCTGGAGGTCTTTCCTCTTATGGAGCCCATTGCGGGTCCCTTTGTGGACCGTCCTTACACAGCACAGGGTTTGCCTTCGAGATGAGGGTTTTGGTAGAAGGACTGTCGGGGCAAATTGCGTTCCTGGCAAGCCGGGTAGATCAGATGCAGTTGGAGCAAGTTGTCTCCACTGCGGCCCCTCGGTCGGCAAGCAGGAAGACAAAAGCATCGCTCGCATTCAAAACATGTCTCTTTCAGGGAACCCCCATTCCCAGCTGCGACTCACCCGCTGATTTGGGTGATGCCAAGGCCCAGGCTCGTTGCACCGGGTCTCCTTTGGGACCTCGGGCACTGAATGCCAATGGGGATGCTGGCAGCCAAGCCTCCAATTTCGGGACAGTTTGCTCGTGTTGGATCCAGCCAGTACCTTGGGCGGTCCCTCAGAGCCTTCCATTCATAACGACTCGGTGCACCACACCGTTGGTATCATTAATTCTAGTGATAGGAGGTATATACCCCCACCCTTGATCCTAAGGCAACCACTTACTGTTGCTTCAACGCTTATGGGATCCAAAGCAACCCTGTCGACATGTCTCCCCCTGTCTGGCCGAGTGCTGAGTGGGGCGCACAGACAGTGTTGATGGGCGGACGTTGGTCAGCCGCAGAGGAGGTAACGCTTAAGCCCCTGGGTGGGATAAATTTTATGCAACTCTTTCCACTTGCGCCCCCAGGGAGGAAGGGACCAGGTGGTGGCTCTTCATCCTTCTTGGGCGGTCGTCCACCCCAGCAGCGGGAAAAGCATGTTTGACACTTACCTCCATGACCAGGGACACAGGCATGTGTTCGGCGAGTGGACAGGTCACAACTTAGTGACTACTGCAGGCCTTGGTGAAACTCGTAAGGCGGAAGCAATCAGATAGGAAGTAGACAGTTTGCTGGAAAAGGGGCGCCATACACAAGGTAGATCAGCCGGCATTAAGTCCAGGGTTCTATTCTGGCGGGCGTCCAGTTCTGGACCTAGGCAGACTGAATCAGTATTTGCTCCTTGATTGATTCTGCATGGAGACGCCATTCAGTGTTCTTCTCTCCATACACCGTTTTGACTGGCTAGCCTCACTAGACTTAATCGGGGGCCTTCCTGCACATATCGATGCACCCAGCGAGTTGCCATCTCCTTCGAGTTGCCCAGCTGGGTCAAGTATTCAAATATCGAGTGCCCCCCCTTCTGGTTAGGCACAGCCCTCTACGTTCCACCAAAATGGTTCCGTACCTAGATGACTGGTTATTACATAACTTTAACAAAGGGTTATTAGCCGAGCATGCCCTACCCAACGCAACAGTTGGTGTTCCTGGGCATGGGGTTTGACACAGAGGTAGGCTTGGTATAGCGTTTTCAAGCATGTTGATTGGTGCTAAGCAGCCTAGTCGAATGCCTAGTCAGCGTTCCTTCTGTGTCCCTCCAAAAACTAATGGGAATCATTGGAATGATGACCTTGCTTCGAAGGGTAGTTCCCCATTTCTGCAGCCGCCCGATACAACGTTTGTGGCTACAACACCGAGCTCTCCTACAGGAACTAGACAGTCGGGTATTGATCTCAGACCAAGCAAAGGAAGCCCTGCCCCGGTGGTCGTCACTGGCCAACCTCGGACAGGGGGGTCTCTTGGACCCACTCATCTCAGCTATGGCTCTGGTAGCAGATACCTCCCTCCAAGGTTGGTGAGCGCATCTATTGGACGAATAAGCCCAAGGTAATTGACCCCTGAATTAGTTTTGGGACCGCCATATCAACCGGCTCAAACAGAAAGCAGTGCACTTAGCATTACCACACTTTCTTCCCGTAGTTTGGGACCACAGATTCCTGCTCCGCACAGGCAACACAGCGTTAGTCTCCTTCAACGAGAGGGAGGGACGTGTTCCCCATCGTTGTCAGTCCTAGCGGAGCAAATTCTCCTTTTGTGCCTGGAATACAATGTGAAGCTAACCGCACACCACCTTCCAGGGGTGAGCAACAGTCTGGCAGATGTCCTTTTGAGGCGGCTCCGTCTCCAGAAGACGGAGTGGCAGATACCCCAGTGGGTAGCCTCCAGGCTGTTTTGGCTGTGGGATGGTCCAAGGATAGACCTGTTTGCCGCACCCCAGAATGCCAAGCTCCCGACGTACGCAATACTCCAGGAGCCTGGGCCAGGGAAACTTTAACAGGTGCACACCTGCATATTGCATTGGTCACACCCAGTTGGCCAACCAAGGCCCAGTTTCCACTTTTGTTGGAAATGCTAGTCGAAACCCCAGTAGTGCTTTCAGACTTATACTGGACCTGCTGTCCCAACCGGATGGCGCACTACCAACGAGCCCAGCGGTGTATCACTTACATGCATAGAGACGGAAGGTTTATCTGAGCAGGCTGCCAACGTCCTTGCCAGGGCGAACAAGGATTTCACCAATGCTGCCTACAATTCTAGATGGCGAGCATACACTGCTTGGTGTAGCAGAAGGGAGATTGATCCATACCATCCCTCTATTGGCCAGGTAGCAGGCTCCTTCGTCCACATGTTTGGCGAAGTGGGTTTGTCCTACGCAGTTATTGTTGGCCTTGTCTCCCACCATTGAGAAAGCTTTGGGAACATGAATAGCCTATTCAAGGAAACCGCCCAACTGGGATTTGTCGATTGTTTTTTCCACTCTAAGCAGACCACCCTTTGAGCCTCTCTGATCAGCACCACTCACATTTTTGACATGGAAAATAGTCTTTCTACTGTCCCTTGCCTCAGGTAGGCGACAGTCAGAACTGGGGGCATTGTCCTTTTTGGATGATGTACCGCCTTTATGGACAATCAAGTTGTGCTAAAGACACAAATCGGGTTTCTTGCCAGGAACCAAATCCCAGGACACGATCCTCACCCGATCGACATCCCACGGCTGTCAAATTTTGTCGGCTCAAAGGGTCAGGAGGAATTGCTTCTCTGCCCGGTTTGAGCACTGAGTTGCTACCAAAACCGTACTAGGGATTCAAGACGGGGTGCCAAGCACATGTATATCTTTGTGTTACGGCACAGACAGGCATGATAGGCCAGCCTCCCCGACTTTCATCGCCAGGTGGATTACTGCGACTGTATTGGAGGTCTATAATACTTCCTCAACACAGAGCTTGCAGAGACACAAAGTACGAAGTGCGATTGCTAACTCACTAGTTCCACCATCAGGCGCCCCTCGAACATTTTCTGAGGGCAGGCTTCTGGAGAACGCAAACGTCTATATCAACTACTACCTAAGAGACACTCAATCCATTAGGTCTTTAAGGTTGCTGACCAAGCCCGAACGACTACAAGGGATGCTGCCCATAGGCGATAAGTCGGTCTCAGCATTGTTGTGGACAGATTTCTCTACCGTCAGCACAGGCAAGGTAAGACACCACCCTCTTTTGGGTCTTAACTAGATGATGAGTGGTAGTTGTAGAGTGTATCATCCTAGACTTGGAAAGACTTTCATCATTTTGTGTTTGCTCGGAAAACCAGCCACGTAAAGGAGAAAGGAACAAGAGTGATTATCCAGCTGTAATGGCGCCTCCATATTGCCTCGGTCAAGTGGTTCGTGACGTAAGGGAAAAGAATCTTGGAGTCATGGGGCTTCCTCTGAACTAGATTCTATATCTCCGTCATTGCCACAATCGCTGATTAATGCTTACAGTTCAAAAAAGGCATTTTTTGTAGGCATGTGTATAGGCGGGTTCAGAGAACCCTCTGCCTAATTTCCATAAATAACCAATTTTGAACTGATATATAAAGTATTAATTATTTCATTTCAATGAAACTTGATACATCAGGTGCCCCCCTCGAGCATGTACTGAGGGCAGGCTTCTGAAGGACGCAAAACCGACCCTGTCACTGTATCAACAGTCGTTTTTGTTATGGGGATGACACTCGCATAGTGAAACACCGTTTCTTTTCACTGTTCTTAACTAGGTGGTAGTCATAAGTAAGGAATATTGTCCTGGGTATTCGGAGTCTATGGTGGGAAATGGACTATGTGAATAGGCTTCTTTTGTTATGAAAATATATATCCTTACAATCAAAATTGAATGAAAATACACACTGTTTGTACAGTTGCTCGACTGATATCTTAATCTTAATCACAATTAGCTAAAGTATAATATCAACTGTTTTCAGCATGTTCTACATGTATGTGTGTCTGCATTCTTGTGTACACGTTGATTTGAATACTACTTATTGGTTTACAGTTATTGTGTAATAACGATGGTTTACTCAAATAAGCTGAAACCATGTAGATTGTTTTATATTACAGTACAGTACAGTACAGTACAGTACAGTACAGTACAGTACAGTACAGTACAGTACAGTACAGTACTCCTCTACTTGGTGTCCAGGGTACTCTACAGTACTCCTCTACTTGGTGTCCAGGGTACTGTACAGTACTCCTCTACTTGGTGTCCAGGGTACTGTAAAGTACTCCTCTACTTGGTGTCCAGGGTACGATACAGTACTACTCTACTTGGTGTCCAGGGTATGATACAGTACTACTCTACTTGGTGTCCAGGGTACTGTATAGTACTCCTCTACTTGGTGTCCAGGGTACTGTACAGTACTCCTCTACTTGGTGTCCAGGGTACTGTACAGTACTCCTCTACTTGGTGTCCAGGGTACTGTACAGTACTTCTCTACTTGGTGTCCAGCGTACGGTACCGTACTCCTCTACTTGGTGTCCAGGGTACTGTACAGTACTCCTCGACTTGGTGTCCAGGGTACTCAGCTCCAGAAATTGTTTTTGAGGGGATTAGCACTTTGTCATGCACCACCCTCAACAACCACCTATTGTTCATGTGGCATGTTTCTGATTAGTACCTTTGGGAAAAAACTCAAATTGTGAAATTAGTTGTTGCATTATTGTTTTCTATTTTCACTTTTACAATGAAGAAACTGAATTGTTCACAAGAAGTGCATACATTTTATTACAATATTATGTATTTGAATACATATCATCAGAGTAAGAATCACTAATTATTGTATTGAAAAAAAAATTCCTTTCAATTTGACACAAGAAAAAAAGGTTTCATTTGTATACTATTAATTCACATGTTTCCCTATGGTACTCTTGTTACAGAAAGATCATGATGGCAAGGTGTAGTGCTCTGATTGTAGGATTAGAGTGGTGGCCTAATAAATATGACCTGTCCCTATCACTGATCCAGAAAGACGCTGCTATTACAGTAAAACGAGTTGTGGATAAAGTGTATGTCACTGTCCTCCAAGCAACTGATGAGGAGATTACAGATGCGAGGAAGATTGGAATTGAGCTCATCCTACCTAAGTTGAAGCCTGGCTTGAGTTCTAATGAACCAACAACTGACTGGCTGGTAATGCATGAAGCATATTTTCCAGACCTCAAGAATTGTCAAGACATAGGCTTAATTATCAGCCATGCACATGTAAATAGAACACTACATTTTGCGAGAGATATTCATCAGATTTTTCCAACTGCGAAATTGGTAACTTTAGTTCATCATATTCCAGAAGAGACATTTGCTGATTCACAAAAGCCTGATGAATCAGTGAAAAAGGAAAATGAAATCCTCGAATATGCTGGATACTCTGACCTTATTCTCTCCGTTGGTCCGAAGGTATTTGGTCATTTCAACTCAAAATTTAAACGGCTACAGAATAAGGGAGTACACTTCTGTTACTTGCCAAGTGCCGATGATATGTTCCTGCAAGCAGATATTTCTGAACCCGATCTTGACACTGAGATGGAAATACTTTCAGTAAACCTACCATCCACAAGAAAGACATTCAATGATTACAACATAGTCGCACGTGCAATGGGGAAAGTTGCCAATCATTACGAGTATGATGATAGTAAACCAACTTGGAAGATATGTGGTATATCAAACGCTGATGCTCCATCCTGTAAAACCCATTTGAACAGCAAGGCATCTTCTCCACATTTAAACATTAATATATGTTCTAAAAAGTGCATAGATGACATTTATGAAGATTTGAAGCAGTGTTGTCTCTATCTCCATGGTAATAAAAAAGATCCATTTGGCATTCTTGCTCTCTCTTCTATTGCCGCTGGTGTTCCAACACTCATTGATAGTGAATCAGGTGTTGCAATGTTTCTGCAGAGATCTCTGTCTGACCAAAGTGACAGAGTTATCGTTAATGTTGGTCCAAGTGAGAATGAAGCAAATATGAGTGAAACATGGGCGAGAAAGATCTACCAAGCTCTGCGACAATACCACAAGAGCTTCAGCAGTATCCAGCAACTGAGGAATGCTTTACTCCAGTCTGTGAAAGAAGGTGTTATTGCTGAATCCCACACTGAAATCATCAACTGGTACCATTCTATATCACAGCGTAAATATGGAAGCCAATCTCCTTCACGATCTGGTGAGTATTATCATGTAATTGACATAATCATGGCAAATAACAATGTATGAAAATTTTTATTTTCACTGTCTATGTTCACAGTAAACTTGATAATTACATCGATTATATGGAAACTCTTGAATAGATTTCCACCACAAAGCCTTTATAATACATTCATTGTAAGTGTGTCATTAGTTTACTTTAGAGCCATCCAACTGACACACTATATTGATTTACAATGAACTGTCGATATATTTCAATTATAGTGTGAATCATAGCTGTATTTTATTAATAAAATCTATTTTGTGTATATTGTGTTCTAATGTTTGTAAAATGAATATTTGTTCTTGGTCATTTATAATAGCAAAGACTTGTCCAAGTGACATATTTTCTTCTGTCGATAAATAACATCGATAAATAACAAAACGTTTTGTCTCTGTTTTCTCCAAGAATTGTCCATTTGTTTTTGTATTTTCGGTTTCCCAACAATGCAAATATGATCAGTGTCATGTACAGAGAGCTGATTTAGTTGAAAAGTGTGTCACAAGCAACCAAACTAGGCATTAAATTAATAACACAGGACTTGAACTTACTGAAGGTATCAAAGACAATTGCCTTGATGCTTAACAATAATATTTTATCAAATTTTGCCATTTGCCTTAGCTGTGTGCATCCTCATATGGGTGTTTAATTGTAACTGATCACCAGCCAGTATATTAACTAGTCGTAAAATAAGGCCCAAAGTAATTTATAGCAGGAGGAGTTTAAGTTGTAATTGTTACTATTATTATTTATCACTGTTTAATAACATTAACCAGTGTATGAATGCAACAGTTATACATGAATATGAAATCATTATATCATATGTTTTAGATACTAGTAGTGTTTTTTCAAGTTCACCTAATCGGCCTTCTGGGAGTGAAGAAAACCAACAACACACACAACCATCTTCCAAAAGTAAGTATATTTATAATAGATTAGTCACTATGGCGACCAAGTGTGAATACAGAGACTTGAGGATTGACCCCCGTGCCTGCATGCTTGTGTTCCCATCTATACATTGTATCTCAGGCGTGCCATGACCAATCACATTCAAACACATACATATACACTGGCATTGTTTAACGACCTGAATCAAGATGACCAAATGGTTGCCATTTTTATGTTAACATCATCAAAATTAATGTTTAAATGTGGTACATACAGATTGAATTAAAAATGGTTGACTAGTGGCCTTTTGTTTTAATTGAATGCCGTTTAGGATTCATATATCCAACATGCCTGGGCTGATCAAGTTGAAACTTCATACATACGTATCATATCGAACATATGCATATGCTTTTGTTTCATGATCTCATTCAAGATGGCTGAATGGCAATCATTTGAAGGCTAAATATGCATCAAAATCACACATTTTCAGAATTTCATAAACTGGATCTCAGTCGTGTGTTGATGGCATTGGTTTAAACTTGGTACATACGTTAAACAGAATAGGAAGCATGTCATTATATTTTTTTAATCAAATTCAAAATGGCCGATTGGTGGCCATTTTGTTTTAAAGAATGCAGTTTCGAACATGCCTTGATTAATCCTTTGTTGAAACTTCATGCCCTATAGAAAAAAGGGCCTCTTCTGAGGCCCAGACCGTTCATTCTCTCTTGTTTCCACGACCAACGGGTGCAGATATTTTTTCAGCTGCGCTACTACGCAGGACAAAGTGCAGGTTACAGTTGTATGACTGAGATTATCTAGGAATCTAGTGTTGGTGATCGACTCCATTCCGGTAAAGGCTTTCCATTATTAGGGGTCCCATTTTTACCTGTTTTAGTCGAATCGCCGGCTCAGTTTATATTCACCCGGATTCCAAATTCTGGCGCAGTGAATTTTCTGTTTTTTTCATGATCTCATTTTCGTAATTTTTTCAGACTGCAATATGCGTAAGTCGTAAAAAGGACAAAGAATGTCTCGACGCAACAGTTTGGACATAAGACATGCTCATCCTGCCTTATGCAAATGCCTGTTTGGGATGTTGCCATTCATGTCTCGGTTGTATCAGAGACTCGGGGAATTGCCTAGAGGGTCTCTGCGATTGATGGGATCCTAAAACATAGTTGCATTACGAGGCGAGGTGGAAAGCTGAAGGCAAGCGATTAAAAGCTGGTAAAAGTCGTGATAAAAAGAGGAAATCCCTAAAAAGCTGCAGCTAGCGATGTAATGTTTGATTCAATGAGTGAAAAAAATCTCTCCCTCCACTAGGTAATCGCGACGAGGCTCGCCTCCGATCGACAATCGAGATTGTTGGAGAGTTGTCACGATCTGACTCCCTGAGACGATTGAGACTGTTTATCTCTGAGATGACGGAGATGTCGGTCGATAACCCGGAAACTTCGGCGGTGGATCTAAATTCTCCCAGCGTGGAGTTAGTTTTCCTGTTTGATGTTAATGCGGCAGACAAACACCGTTCAACTGCTTTTGCTGGGGATCAGAGTGTCCAGTCACCATGGTTACCGATGTTGGTAAACTGCGTATTCCCACTGGGGCGCTGACATCGACACCGAGTACCGAGGTGGAATTGGCATGGCCTTTAGGGACTGAACCGGTTCAATCCACCGAGACTTCATCAGTACCAACGCTGCCTGAGTGGCTTGTGCAATCACAGGGACTGTTGCCTTCCCTTACCAGTATTAGTCAAGGTGTCCAGCTCTCCCATGGTGAAGAGATGGCTTGGAAAGCCTGGATGCGTAATCTGGCTTCAAATGTCAACTCCCTTCTGCAGTCTCAGGGCACGACGCAGGAGGGACCGGGGGGTTTGAGGGGGCGCAAGTCAGTGGGGGCACGGGCTGAGATACTGCCTGTCCCTCCACCACCAAGGCTAGGGTCAGGTGTGTCCCATTCTCCCAGTGATCTCTCCTTTAGAGGATCAGTGGGGGAACAACTCACATCAGTGGGAAAGGGAGCGTGCACTTCTTTTATAGAGGGGGGCCCTCTCCCTGAAACAGATTGCCTTATGCGTCCTCTTCCGTATTCCCAACAACCCCCTCAGGCTTGGGCTGACCAGGCATCGTTTCCTGTGTCTTACCAGGCCGCACAGATTGTCCCCACTTGTGACTGTAGGGGGGGCCTCCAGTGTTGGTACCCCTGTACAGGGTGGTATGCAATCTCTTATGGGGTGCAGCTACCACTCCCCCAGCAGGACGGGGCGAGCGCTCTGTCTCTCTCGTCGCCACTTTGTCGGGACAGTCACAGGATACCCAACCAACCGGAGCCCAGCTGATCCTTACTAATTACAGTTAAGGTCACAGCTTGTGAACCGGGCAGTGATGGTAGTGAGACTTTTGTTTCGTACGGGGCCAGTTGTAACCTCCTCCCCTCGAATGGGAGAGTCGCCTTTGGGCCCGTTCTCATCGGTGCTCTTCTCTCCCACTGCCGGTGTAGAGACCACGCCTGCTGGCCAACTTCCCTGGGCGCCTTGTGTGACCCAGGCTATAGAGGGGGCTCAGAGGGCGATGGAGGGGGGGCGATTGGTACCCTTCGGGAGAAAAGGACAAACAGCTTGAACCTGGTTTCAGAGCGGTCACGTCCAATGCCTTCCGTTGGGTGAATCGAGGGACACTCATGTGGTACCACAGTCTGCTCCACGGGTTCCCAGTGTCGATCTCTTTACCCATACTTCTGTTAAGGCGGGTAGTACAGATCGGGAAGGCCACGTTGCATGGTCATTTGACCAGCACCAGTGCCTATTAGTGCATGAGTTTGATCGCCTGCGAAGAAGGCCTTGGGGCGTGACCGGCTTTTTGATGGCCAGTTAGCGGATGCAGTGAACGGTTTGGCCGTTCCTGAGGATCAGTGTATCCAATTGAAGCAATCGTTCCTGTTGACCAAGGTAGCTAGTCCTTCTGGTCAACAGTTCTAATCAAAACCGCAACATGGCTCAGGCAGTAAGTCTTCCACTAGGGGCCACAACCAGAGAGGATCAAAGTGCACATGCAGCATATACCAGCTTGGCGCAGGAGAATTTTCGAATTTTCCGGCTAAACAGGTTTGTGGAACTCAAGTGCTTCCGGATGGAAACACCAGCTTTGGTACTTCTGTCAGTGCACTCTGAACGACGATTAATTCTACATACATGTACCCATTCACCACTCAGGCAGCCTATATCTCAGATTCCCATTACAGGGCAACGTTTACGAGTTTACCGTCCTCCCTTCTGGTCTGTGCACGGCACCGTACATCTTCACCAGAGTGCTAAGACAGGTGACCCAGCTGCTACACCGGTCGTCAGTCTATCTGAACCCATATCTCGATGAGTGGTTATTACACAACCGAGACAGGGAGGTGTTAGTGGAGCAAGTACGATTGTCGCAAATGCTCTTCCACGAGTTGGGCTTTTAATAAATATGCCAAGTCCAACCCAATACCGTCCCACAGCCTGTTTTTTTCTGGGTATACAGTTCAACACGAAGCAAGGGCTTGTTCGTCCCTCTCAGGAGTGATGCAACTCCCTTGCAGAGCTCGCCAGCCAAATCCGGTCGACGGGATCGGTGTCGATGCGCAAACTGATGCGGCTTATTGGCAAATGACTTCAGTTCGTCGTCTGGTTCCGTAAGCAGCTCTCCAGTCTCGTCCTACTGTCTCTGACATTTTTTTCAGGAAGTCGCGCACCACCACAGAGTCCTGCTTTGGACAGACAACACCTCAGTAGTGTCGTACATCAACAAGAAGGGGAGGGACGCGTTCCCCCACGTTGTTGAAGCTAGTGGAGGAGATTCTCCTTTGGTGCCTGGGAAACCAGGTAGAGCTATCGGCTCACCACCTTCCGGGGATACGCAAAAGCACTGCGAACGCCCTCTCAGGATGTATTTGGTTCCAGAACACTGAGTGGCGGACCGGCCGTTTCATTTCTGGGATGGGCCCCAGATAGTTCTGTTTGCCAATCACTGGAATGCCAAGCTCCCGACGTATGTGTCACTCCTCCCGGAGACGAGCGCTTTCACCATGAACGCTCTATCAAGCTCTTGGAGTCTCATGGACTCTTACGCTTTTCCACCCTTCCAACTGGGCACCAAGTTACGACTCGAGCCCACCTGCCATCTGACTTTGGTGGCGCCCAATTGGCCAGTGAAGGTTTGGTTCCTAATGTTGCTGGAACTTCTAGTTGAGTTGCCCATAGAGTTGCGGGATCTTCCGGATCTGTTGTCCCGGCCATACGACATTCTACCGATGAGCTCTGCGCTATTTCATATTCACACGTGGACGCTGTCAATAAACTCGTGCTAGCACTAGGTTTTTCTGCAGAGTTGTCCAAGTTCCTCGCTTTGGCACAGTCGAACGGTACCAGACGTTTTTACAAATCCAGATAGAGACTGTATATTGATTGGTGTGACAGAAGGGAGATTGATCATCTCAGTCCCTTTATTAGCGAGGTAGCTCATTTTTCCTATATTTATTGGATCAAGGAAAATCTATCGACAATTCTTGGATATCAGTCAGTTTTATTTCCAGCTTTATCAGAATCTGCTGGACTGAAACTGGCTTTGAGTTCTATTATAATTTATTTCTATTTTGGCTCTGGCGTCAGGTAGGCGGCGCTCAGAGATAGGGGCACTGTCTTTTAGTGACGGATGTGCCTCCTTTATGAACTCACAAGTTATTTTGAAGACGCGGTTGGGCTTTCTTGCCAAGAATCATTCCCAGGGCGTGACCCTGAACCGATCGTCATCCCACACCTAACTAACTTAGTGGGCAAGGAGGACCCTCAAGAACGGATTATATGTCCTGTCCGAACTCTGAGCTGGTACTGCGACCACACCAAGGTGTCTAGGGGCAGTGAGAAGTGCATGTTTATCTGTTATGAGCGGGGCAAACAGAGCCACCCTGCTTTGTATACCACCATTTCACGGTGGATTGTTGATACAGTCATGGAAGGCGTATAACTTAACTGCTTCTTCATCAGCTCGTCTAGAACGTCACCGGTGAAGGCACACGAAGTGCACAGGGTAGCCAACTGATTGGCTTTGATGTCTGGAGCCTCGCTTGAGCAGGTGCTCCAAGCAGGGTTCTGGAGATCTCAGAATGTCTTCATTAACTATTACCTGAGAGACCTCCAAGTGCTGCAGGAGGGTCTCCACAGGTTTGGTCCAGTGGTGTTCATTGACCCATCCTGCACAACCAAGAGGCCCTATGCACGAAAGCGTTAGCGCGATAGTGTCTTCAGCCAAAACCAGCTTTCTTTGCTTGACACTGCTGGTTTCGTTCGACGCTATCGAACCCCAGCAATACACTGTTTTTGATGCATTAGAATTGTTGGGGCCCTATCTTATTGTTCAGTCGGCCGGCTTTAGTAAGCCTCCCTATATTGGGGGGCCTACTCTTGAAGTACCCGGTCCCTGAGAGTCACCCGAGTGGGTGTATCCCGGGACAAGACTCCTTGTTAGTGAGTAGCTTTAGATTTCTCTCAGTTTTTTTACCTTTCTTCTTTGTGTCGAACAATATACATTTCAGCCGTTGGAACTTCCCCACCTTCGGTGAGCGTGCTACTCTGCCTAACGAGTAATAAATGGAATTTATTATTTCCACAAACTTTCTGGTAGGTGATGTAGTAAACTATTAGGGTTGTACAAACCAGTTTGTTTACCTAATCATATCTACCAGAAAGTGAGTTGAACTCGCCCACTTCCCCACAAGCTTCCGACGACCCATTGGTGCAGCGGAAATGTTTGTGGGAATAAACGGCCTGGGCTTCGTGCGTGTGAGCACCCTGAGGGTGACCCCTCAGGAGAGGCCCTTTTTTCTATAGGGAATGCTACCCTAGGGTGTTCTTTGTGAACAGGATATATTCCAGAATAGTTTCTGTTCTGGGTTGTAATCTGTAGTTAAGCCTAACGAGTAATAAATGTATTATTTCCACGGACTTTCTGGTACGTATGATTAGGTAAACAAAAGGGTTTGTACAATCCTAATAATTTAAGGCAAGATGTTGAAAATCATGAAACAAAGTCAAGTGTAGTTTTTGATATATTGCCAAGTACTGAGCCCAAATATAATATCCTATTCCTTGTAAAATATCATGGAAGTGAGCATTTACTTTCTCAAAATTCAACCACTAAATTATATTGTTAAATTACCAGGGAGTTTTGCATTTTTTTAAATATCAATTGTTCAGTGACTAGACATATATTTTTGTGATAACTGTTTGAAAAGATTATCAATCTTAATGTTTTCGCTATATACCGTACTAATAGATTCATGCATCATTATGTGTTTTCGTATATATGAAGATTTTGTCGATTTTGGCAATGTACAGGATGTGTTTCCTACAGAACCAGCAATCACTACTGCTTGCTGATTCATTGTTGAAATGACTAAAAACTGGTAAGGCGTAACAAAAAAAGAAGGTCTGTTTCAGGTAACGAGCTAGAAAAAAATAGGTAGGGTAGGTCGGATTTTTTTTTATTCATTTTTTTTTTGCATTCAAACAATTGTTGAAATACAATTTGCTGAAAATATATAATTAGCATGAATATATCTGGGTCCTTATTCAATACCCAAATATTAATTGAATTTATATTTTGAGATGATAAATCTTTATATTAGTCAAAATTGCTCACCTGGTCAACTGATATTGGTTAGTTTCAAATTACTGACACGACCAAGATATCAAGTATCATACTCAATGGATGTTGTTGATCTCAGAATTTAAAAACAGCCATTGAGGACAATTGTTGAAATCTGATTCAACTGAGGCAAACTGAATAGAATGTGAAGAAAGACAAGTTTCAAAGATGTTCAAGTTGTATTCAAGTTTCACTTATTTTTCATAGGGTCTCATGCAGCATGGGAGGTACCCTTCACTGGTGCATGCAGCTCATCTTCCCTTGATATACCTGCTGCATTCTTCACGCCCGAACTGTAAACAAATATTAAATTGACTTTACAACTTGCAAGTGTGTTGTTTTTTAGGATATAAAAAATATATAAAATCAATATTAAAAAAAGACTATTTATAAAATGTATTGCTATAAAACACACCGTTTGTAGGCACTTTATATTAAAATTTAAAGTGCCTGTGAAATGGCTGCTATTTTCACGCCTACAATTATCCATTGATACACAAATATTATTAATTTTTATGTTTCTCAGCATGAATTATTTTTTTTAAGTGAAAAAGTGTGTTTTAAACTCAGTCTACGGCAACTTTATTTTGTGTATTTTAAAACGAGGCATACAGAAATTCCCCTTGTGACGTCAGAAGGGGAAGTCGCATGGCAGCTTGCG